CATCAATATGAATGTGGGAAATGCTAGAATGACTTACATTGTGAAACGGAGGGAGTAACCCTTTTGACTGTTACTATCTCAAACATTAAACACTACTAGTAATTGGGCACACTATAACTTTGAGTCAATAAGTTTTGATCTCATCGAGTCAATAAGGTCGTTTGAAAATTTCAAAAAAATATAATTCAAAATAGATCCCATCATTTATAATGCATATTAGTGCATATAAACGAACTCAAATGAAAATATTGTCAAATCTCATCGATATCTACAGTTTTAATATATGAAATGTCTTCATGCAAGGTTGTTTTTTAAAAATAAAATTTTTGTTTTTCAGAATAAGATTCCACCAGTTTATAACACATTTAGGCATGCAAATGTTTCACATCTCCTTGAGCTCTACAACTTTTATGCAAGGCATCTCTCCTTTTGAGGTTGCTTGAGAAAATACAGTGGTGATTTTTTTTAAGTAAGATCCTATAAGTTATTGTGCATACATATTAGGCCATGTAAAAATTATCAAATAAAATATTGTCCATTACTGCATCTATCCAATAATAATATATTATATGGCATGATCAAACTTAGCACGGTTTATAAAACTAAACTTTAAACTTACAATTTCTCATATACTCTAAAGTTGTTAAAATAAAATTATTACCATATAGAAGCAAATTCTGATGTCAATGTAATGATATTATTTCAACAAATTAAATTTAATTCATATTATGCAAAATGGAGCGAGAAATTAATGCATGATTAATTAATTATTTGCTTAAAAAATTTTAAAAATGAATTAATATAATTTTACAGCAACTTTTGTATAGAAACTTTTTACAAAAGCCACATTGTTTAGCAGTTTTGAAAGTGTGCATGCGAAAAACGATAGAGGTGAGGTTGGGAGCCTTGAGGAAAAAACACAAGCTAAATATGTTGCTCAAATGTTTTAAAAGCTGGATTATAAAATACGTGTGCGTCTTATATTATACTCCATCCGTCCCTAAATATTTGAAGCCGTTGATTTTTTAGCACATGTTTTACCGTTCGTTTTATTAAAAACTTTTGTGAAATATGTAAAACTATATGTATAAATAAAAGTATATTTAACAATAAATCAAATAGTATATTTAACAATAAATCAAATGAATGAAAATAATTAATAATTACTTAAGTTTTTTTAATAAGATGACGGTCAAAAATGTTAAAAAAAGTTAACGGATCAAATATTTATTTATGTATGGACGGATGGAGTAGAATGAAGGGTGTATAAAGTTGTAGATCTTATCAGCTCTATGGGATGGAGGTCTATCACAGTAATGGTTCATACTGCTCCGTACGCTTGTATATAACTTGTAACTTTGTAACGGGTAATCTATCTATTATATACTAAGTCCATGAAACTTCCTACAAACACTCTCAAGCCGCCACGTGGCGCTCTAATAAAATAGAGAAAATCCTAGATATTTAAGAAAAAAGCAAAACATCTATCCCTTGATTTTCATTTAAATTGGTGGGTCCAATATTATACACCGTTAGATAAAATTGATCTTAAAACAAACTAAATAGCATGGGTCCCACCTATCCTCCTCCCGTGCATTGGCAGGTGGAGTATATATGTACGTACGCTTCCTTCCCCTCCTTTTTTTTCCTTTTTCTTCTTTTTTCACTTTATATAGTTAATGGATATATTTTTTAAATAATCATTATTTTACAAACAAAGAATCTACCATCATATAATTTAAACGGGTGTACTCTTTACTTTGTACAATTATTTTGAAATAATGCACTACTTTAAAATAAATTTTACACAATTATATCATATACTTATCAAATAAACAATATCTATATTAACTAATTTATATGTGCACTTAAGCTGATGGCCCCCATTATATAAATCATCGGATCTACTTTTTATTACATTGGTCTATTATTCTCAAGTAATGCACTGTTTCAAAATAAGGTCTACACCATTATATTGTCTATCCATTATATTAATAATTTAAAATCTATATTAACTAATTTACACTTACACTAGAATGGGTGGACATATTATAATAATCATTGGATCTATTGTTTGCTAATAAATAAAGCGTCTGAAATTCTCTTTTTGCCCACTGCACAATGCACGTCTGCACCTTGGCCTTTCACACGCGTGACGAAGCGTAGTGTCTGAGACATCTAAGTTGATCACAACCAGGGTTTACCTTATCGTTTGGGCCGGGGTTATCGCCACCCCGCGGTAGCGCGATAACCGCGATAATCGCGCGATAATCGTCTAAAATCACACAAAAATCACATCCAAAAATTTGAATTCAAAACTCATCGGTTTTCGCGGTTTCACCGCGATAATCGCACGGTTTATCGTGATAACCGCGATATTCGCACAGTTATCGCGGGCTGTGTAGCTGAAATCATGTAAATGTAAAATAAATAGGATAAAGAAAATCAAAAATACGGTTAAATATGTGTAGAAAACTAGAAATTGAGAATAATTGGAAGAATACGTAGGATACTTAAGGCCCAATATCCTCTTGTTTTTTCAATTTGTAAACCATTTTTGGTTTTGCCCTCAAATTTGAATTTAGCTTACTCTATTTCAAAAAAATTCTTCACCATTGACAATTACAAATCAAGAACTACATCCATGAATTTTTTCAGTTTTTTTCGATTTTTTTCCGGAATTTTGAATTTGGTCAAAATTCATCCAAACCATATCGCCGGTTTCCCCTACCGTACCCCCGCGATAAGCGCGATAACCGCGATAATCGCGCGATTATCGTGCGATAAGTGAATCCCTGATCACAACTGCTGTAGCGCTACCGCTTTGCCACATATCAAATCATATATGGAGATGATTAATTTTGTTAATAACATGGAAAGAAAATTAAGCACCATGGGTTGTGTTTTTCTCAACACTAATTAGCTCTGTGTAAGTTGAAACCGTGAGTTGATTATATAGTAATTATAATGTATTTGTGTTATGTCATATTTGGATTTTGTACTATTTGTTCGTACAAGTGAAAGGAATCATTATGTTATAAATGTGAGCGCAATATTGATGAATATTAATAGAACTCTTACTACGACAAGGGTGATAAAGGGAGTTTGAGGCCCTCTCTTTTTTTTCCAGATTCCATATTTTGGTTTTTGTTTGCACGTTTTCCAAGTTTCTAAATTGTGTCTTCTTTAAACAACATTCTAACTTCATTTATACCCTCAAATACTATCACATAAATTATATAATTCATCAATTTCAGCTATCCTAAACCTTAAGTACTACATATTTTTTCCATGCAAGTCATGATGATCAGTAAATTGGTGATCAACGGATCATCGAAGTCATAAGATGAATATGTAAGAATTGCTCTGAACAATTGTAAATAGGTGTCAAAATTAGTTGCTATTAATTAGACATCTAATGGCTTACTAGCCACAATATTAATTTCTCTCTACATGTATATAAACATGGACGAAGTTAGAACAAATATTACCATATGTCCCATACATATATTCTAATTAGTCATTTAAAATTCCTTAAAATGCTCTCAAGCTGCCACGTAATGCTCTAATAAATTAGGGCAAATATTAGAAGTTGTAAGAAAAAAAATCAAAGTATCTATTACTTGATTTTCAGTTAAGTCGGTAGGTCCAATATTATAAACCGTTAGATTAAATTGATCTTAGAACAAACTAAATAGTATGAGGTCCCACCTCGGCATAGCTACGCACCTACGTGCATGGGTACGTACGCCTCCCCTCCCTTTTTTTCATTTTTCTCTTTCTTCTTTTTTTCCAATGCATATGCTTTCCTCCCTTTATTACTATATCATGCGCCTTCATGAGACGATTTAATCAAAAGAATTTTGAGTATCTTGCACTCGCATTTTTCATTTGCGGCCATACTACACGTATGTATATAGATGGACTGTATGATAATTAACTAGCAGTAGTTTCTTATTTACTCGAGAGAAAAAAACATGGTTCAAAAGTTGTAAGTACTTAATCCATCTCCTACTCAAAAGTTTGTGAATGGTTTTCTAAGATACCTTAAGAAAAATAGAACCCTTAAATTATTATAAAATAACATTATCCAAACTTTAGTTTGCCCTAAATCTATTAGAAAAAATTTCTGAACAAACAATAATCTTACATTTCAATAATATAAGTGCCCGCGCATACGCGCGGGCCATCTTCCTAGTTGTTCATAAATAATTAGTGACGAACCACAACTATAATTCGTCATAATGACTCTCCTAGGCCATATCCCATGCCATGGTACAGACGTCCATTTCTGTAGCAGTGATAGCTCTGATAGAGCACCATGGGTACGATAAAGCTAGTGTGCCTCAGAAAGTCGATCATGGTCAAATTCGCATCCAATTAAGTACGTACAAGGTCAAAATGTCACACCTTAAATATCAATCACCTAAAAAACAAAAGATCAATCTAGAACGACTACTCCTTATTTCACTCAAATCTAAGAACAGATTAAATGCTACTTCAACAATCGATTCGATGCATGGAGATCTACGCGCGAAAAGAATAATTAACGCAGTATTCAGAATACAAAGCTGAGGTCAATGATTCCTCGAACGACCCGTACTTCAGCTAATTTAGATTGGAAGAATCCCACTATGGATGTATCCAACTTAATCACTACTAATAGTATTATTAACAATGAACCCGTGTATTAATCTCGATCAAGTTGATCTTAGATGGTACTACGTGCAGTAGTCAACTTCTCGTACTGACAAACCTTAGCTTTCGTTGCTTCAAGAGAACTTCTTTCCCATATTAAAAACGAAAAAGAGCTTCTTTCCAAGTGAAGTATACAAGCTCAAGTATCAGGTCCTCTAACTTGTATTTGTCTCTACTTTTCTCTCACACGCAAACAGAAAAAGGGAGAAATAAGAGACTAGCACATACAACCTTGCAGCCAAACATTATAAAAGCCGCGCTCCACGCTGTCATGCATGCATCCACACGACTCTAAGATCCTCTTTGAGAGTGTTTGTAATAAGTTTGATGAACTTTTAGTATACAGTACATAGATGCCATAAGCCACTCTTAAATTCAAGATTTCAAATCCACCGGCTTACAAAATATATAAGCCAAAAATTACCTTAAAATTTCAAGCTAATGAACTTAAACCTAAACAAAAAAAAATTTCTCACACAGTAATATATAACCTAGCCACATTTTCACCGGCCTCTCTTGAGAAGCTGCACAAGAATCTCGTTGAAGGTGTCGACCGGCCCAGGCAAGCAGAAGTGGAGGCAATCGGAAACCAACTTCTGCTCATCCACGCCGCCGTTCGCGAACGGGTCACGGTTCATGTACACGCCGGGGTGCCCGTCCGGCCGCATCGACGCCAGCTTCGTCACGTCCAGCACCTCGATCCTCACCGCGCCGCCGCCGCTGCCGACATCGCCATACCTCGCCCTCGCGGCGTCCACCACGTCGTAGACGATGCCCCTCGTGTCCTTCACCACCCACGCCATCTCCTTCTCCCCCTCCCTGTACGGCTCCGTCTTGGTGCACACCCACGACGTCGGGTTCTCCGCCGGCTTCCCCTCGAAGTGCGACGGCGAGAACGTGGCGAGCACCAGGGTCCGCGGCCGCGGCCGCCCGGAGGTCAGCAGCCGCTCAATCGCCGACCGGAACGCCGCGCGGAGCGGCCACGCGTAGCCGACGAGGGTGTGGTTGGCGAACTCCGGCGGGGCGTTGTGGACGCCGACCACCTCGCCGCTGCCGTTGTAGTAGACGGCGCCGTTCAGGAACCAGTGGCCGGCGGCGAGCACCGCCACGTCGATGGTGCCGGCGTCGGCCGCCCACCGGCCGTGGGGCTCGTCGATGTGGACGTAGTTGTGGCGGAGGCCGTCGTCCACCGACTTGCCCTCCGCCCTGACGAGGAACGGCGTCCAGTAGAAGGACACCGTCACGCCGTGCGACGGGAACGCGTACCGCCAGTAGTTGTACTTGTCCGGGTAGGCGCCGGTGCCGCGGTAGACGAGGCGGTGGGGCAAGTCGGCGGCGGCGGCGGTGAGGAGGCAGATGAGGGACTGGGCCTGGTTGCGAGCCATGGAGTCGCCGATGAACGCGACGTGCTTGCCGCGCACCGCCGCGAGGAACGACCCGGCGTCGAACGCCGGCAGCGTGCACCCGGCCGCCGCGGGCTGCCACCGCCAGTCGAGGTAGCCGGTGTCGGGCCGGCCGTTGCGGATGCAGTCGTGGCTCTCCTTGACGTTGCACCCGGTGGCGTTGTACCGCCGTCCATGGCCCGGCGCCCACACCCAACTCCCCTCCGAATAGTTGCAGCTCTTCCCTCCTCCCGGTCTGTAAACGCAAAAGATTTAAAATCGGGAAACCATTTTGATCCCTCGAGGTGATGCCGTCTGATCGTTGGCATGTCACTCAAATGGTTAAGAAAAAAAGTAAAAAAAAATTCGAGAAGATATATTAACATATGGCATATCGCTCCACAAACCTGTAAGTTCAAATTCAACTCGATCGGGTGCGACGTTTATATATCAAGATTTATTTTTTTTCGAACGAACTAACATCAGACAGTACGACGTTTCTATTGATACAGCAGGATTACGAATATATAAATGGGCTATATAGCTATAGGTTTGTCACGTACTTACACTGTTGAGACGAAGGAGTAGGTGTTGTTGATGTATTGGCGGAGAGGAGAGAAGGCGGCTTGACGAGTGGCGGCGGGAGCGCAGCAGAGGAGGTGAAGGAGAGCCAGGGAGAGGAAGCCGCAGCCGAGCCAAGCGCAGGCGTGTTTGGACACGAAGTAGCCTGGATTTTTGCCGGATGGTTTCTGGTTGTGGGGATGGTGATACACCACGGGCTGGTAGTGGTAGGCTCCCATGGCTGTGGCTAGGGCTAGCTAGCCAGTGTGGTATGCAAGCAAGCTCCTTTACATATAGGAGAGATCGGTGATTTTACCAATTGGGAGTAGGTTAATAATTAGAACCTTCGTTATCCACGAGATTATGCATTGTATATAGATCAGACACCTAAGTGTCAAATTAAAATAAGAACAAGTGGCGGCGGCTGTCCGCGAGAGGTTTACATTGCATGACAGTGTCATTCGGCAATCGGAACTGGATCGATCTCCTGTCTCCTTTCGTGAATGCTAGATCTGAAGCACTGCTCCTTTCTCCCTGACTTCAATTCAGGTTTTGCAGCCAATGTCATGCTGCCACACGTTCTTCTTCCATTTCTTTTTTCTCAAACTACGCAAATTCTTCATTACAACAAATCTGACACTCTTCACTACAATAAATCTGACATTCTATGACCGAATCCAGCCGAGGAGCGGGCTGTAGCGCGGGCTAGATTGGCTGCACAGGGCGTGGTTGTGGGCCTTGTGGCTACTTAATTATGCAGCCAGATTTGGCTTATTTTTGGCCAAATCTGGCCTCCTCCCCCCTATGACTACAATGGTGGGCGTATGCAGTGATGTCTGAAAACTTTTCGTTCTCGGTCTCGGTGGGTGGTCAGACTCTGAACCCAGTGGGTGGTGGTGAGGCTGTACCCGGTGAGGCCAGAGTTGGAAGCTCTAGTGTGGAGTGGCAACGATGGCACGATGCATAAGTTCGATTCGAGCCAATACATCGAGTAGCTCCCCTTTCACCCCGGTCAGACTACATACAACACTTAATTCATATAATATAATGAACATGAAGAATACAACAATTCTTTGTCTGCATGAGAACCATGCACTACTGGAGAAACCATCTTTATCTGGTCGGCCAAAATCCACAATACTATTGGTTTCATTAAAAACCGGGACTTAAAAGGATTTTTAGTCCCGATTTATAAGAGCAACGAGACTATATGATTTTTAGTCCCGGTTCACATGTTGTCAGGGTTTGTCAGGGCCCCTCCCGATCTTTAGTCCCAGTTAGTAACACCAACCGGGACTAAAGATCAGTCCCTTTATACATGTCTTCTTCCTCCTTCAGCCCGAGCCAAGCTTCAAAACTTTTCATACAAGAGGGGAGGTCTTGCCAAAATTTCTTATGAATTTATTTTGGTGATTATATACAAATCGGACGTGTCTAAAAGGTTAGCAACTTCATCCTCCAATGTTTTTTGTTATCATATTATATTTGAAACTATGTTTTGTACACATTATTGCCTCTAAAACTTTGTTGAAAGTTCATGAGAGAAAATTTGTGTAGGGAAGAAAGAATATATAGAAATTTTGTTTATTTACAATTTTATAAAAAGTTTTTATAAAATAGTTGAGAAGGAAAATATATTGAAAATTAATCTAAAATAATAGAAAACAAACTAAATTGAAAATTAAAAGAAGTATAGCACATTAAATATTAGTTTAAAACTTCAAAAATAATTACAAAAAGAATAATTTGTGGGATTGTTTTATAATTATTGTATGAATAATGATATGTTATTATTGTATGACTGTTTAGTGGGTTTGACTTTCCTTGAATATTTTTACAATTTTTTTGCATTTCATGTAGATGGATCGGCAATGGATGTACGTAGACCGATGTTCGAAAGAGTTTATTGATGGTGTGCATTATTTTTTGAGAGTGGCCGATGCTAACAAGCATAAGGGTTTTATTTGTTGTCCATACAATAAGTGCAAGAACCAGAAGGCTTATTCTGCAGTAAGAACTATTTATTTTCACTTGTTTGAGTCAGGGTTCATGCCTAGCTATAATTGTTGGACATCGCACGGAGAGCTAAGGGTTGAAATGGAAGAAGATGAAGTGGAAGACGAGAACATTCCAGACTGGGCTCAATACGCTGGATTTGAAGGAAATAAAACGGGCGAGGTGGACGGGGATGTTGATGATAACGACGCTACAGATGATCTTGGTCAGATGTTGCAGGACACCAAGGAGGATTGCGAAAGTAAAAAAGGATGCCCATAAATTGGAGCGTATGTTAAAGGACCACAAAACGGCGTAGTCCCGGTTGGAAAAGACCATTTCACCACCAGTGATGGGAGCCAGGAGCTTTTATCTCCCTGCAAACGTGTGAGAGGGCGCTACCACCGTCTAGGCTTCGCCCACCCCCATTGGTGATGGCGTCGATTTGGAGCACATCATCATCGTTCACTGCCATGTACTGCCTCGACGGGGAGGGGTTGGCGCTGTGGCTCTCCACCACTCGGTCAGCGCAGGACGACGAGGAGGTCTCCCACCTAAGTAACTGCGTTGTAGGGGGCACACAAACCTGTCGAGGATGAGGCGTCGTGGGGGATCAATGCCGGCGGTGGAGGAGCCGTAGCCAAGGATGTGTTGGTAGCAAGTCAGCCGCACACCTCGGAAGTCACTGAAACCCCTGCCGTGGCAGAAGCCGTACGAAGGTAAAGCACAGGGACACCCTACGGTTCCGCCTCTCGCGTTGGCAGCGGCATGGAGTGCGTCGTACTCGTCGTTCGCCATTGCCGGGCCACCACCTCCCCTTCCAAATTTGGCTGGAGGGGAGCGCGCCGCCGTCGGTGCTGTTCCACCGCTGCCTCCCCTCCCATCGGATTTGGCGGAGGGGAGAGCGCCGCCGTCACCGCCAAGTCACCACCACTATCTCCACCATCACCAACAGCGCTGGGTAAGGAGGGGGAGAGAGAGAGAGAGAGAGAGAGAGAGTAGGGAGAATGTGTGCTGGATGGAGGAGGAGAAGAAGAAAATGAAGGAGAGAGAGTGGTGGGTAGGTGCAGTGGGTGGAAATTAACACCCACAAGTTCGGCACGGGTCGGTTTTATGGGTGTCTGTTTTTTAAAAAACCGGTACCTATAATCGCTTCAAGGTGTCTTTTTTGTGTGTTTTCAGCCCGTGGGTGTGAGAAAATATCTATATAGGTGCCTTTTTAACACTTCTGCCATCATAGTGCCGACCTCTAGGTGTTTTTATGTTTCAATTCATAGAGAGGATGCATGGCAGCATCCTCGACTCACTACTAGAAAATGGTCTTCTGTAATGTCCCGAATTTCGTTTGGGATTAAAATTCATTAAATAATGCATTTCAAGAAATTATATTAAAAACTAAAGCAATTTAATCAAGTGAAATAATGAGGGAATTAAAAGTTTTCTTTAAAAATCATGGCCGGGAATATTTTGTAATATTATCTGTGCCCTAAAGTATTCTCTAAAATTTCCCGCGAATTTTTGGAGCTCAAGTAGTAATTTTAACAATACAAAGTTCATTTAACCAATTAAATAAAAAGAAAAATAAATTAAGTCCCCGCTTCTTCCCTTTGGACTCGGGCCATTTTTCCCCTACTTTCCCAGCCCAGCTCGCCGCTCGGCCCACTCGCCCCTTGCAAAGTCTGCTTTACGTCCCCCCTCCGGCCTCTCTCTCCCTATGATCGGGGCTCTGACGACCCCCTAGTACGGCCGAATGCTTCAGCGCCTCGTGGACGGGCGGGCGAGCCAGATTTGTGAAGGGAAGTTGCGGCTCAGTCGAATCCGGCGAAGATCGATGACAACGCCGGGACTTATAAGAAACGGAAACGGCCTATGGCGAAGGCGACAGCGGGCGGCCAAGCAAAGACTCGACGGACCGCCAAGGCTGTCGCCAATTCCGACGATATCGATTCCGACGCTGATATTGCATGACTATATTTTGATGAAAAAAAAACATATGTTTCAATCTGTTAACACTTGTGTTCATACGTGATAGCGATATGCTTCAACTGTAAGATCAACGTGTGTTTTGATTCTTATTCTGTGCTGAACAATTGGCATCTGTGATTATTGGTTTTGATATTTGGAGATTATCGTCGAAGTGGTTTTGGAGATAATCAATTTTCAGGTGATGATCGGATTCGATGTTATTTTATGTGACCGGTCCGACCGGGTGGTGTATGCCGGTCAGACCAGCGTTTATCGAGCGGTCAGACCGGCTGGCCCGTGGTCTGACCGGCCGACGCTATGTCGGTTTCGGTTTCGGGTTGTTTCTTTGGATATCCGTGATTGTTTCATGGTTATGGCTTCTAGATGGATACTATACGTATGTAATACTGTTGTTTGCTAACAATGAGTCAAGTTGGAGATAGCTTGGTCTCAGAATATGGTTTCTTTGATTGTTTCATGTGTAGGTGACTCGATGCCTTGGGAGAGTATTTGCGGTGATGGACCGAGAGTCGGCTTGGTGGTAAGACGATGTCCGTGGTGGTCAGATATCATGCGGGATACTAAGTCTAGAGTTGATGCACGTGATTGATGGAGATTCTATATGGCATACGATGGAGGTATTGTGTGCGTATGGGATGCGGAGTCGAATTTGGAAGGAGTCCAAATTTGGTACGATTGGTTATGTTAAGTTTGTTTCTTGTACTAGAGGGTTTCCTAAGGTGTTTAGGACTCTTAGTATGAGTTTGGTTCTTGGCTTTAGGCTGCCTACCTCATGTATAAATAGAGGGGGAGCGTGAGGCTTCCCGGTATCGCTTTTGTATAGCTTTTGAGAGTTAGTTTAGTTAGGGTTTCGAGTTTAGTCGAGTTTTTTGTAAGGAGTGTTGTTGGTGCACTTTGTAAACACAGAGAGAAGCAATAAAGTTGTCATCTACTTTGAGAGTTATTCGATTTGTGTTTCACCGGGTTCTGGCAGTCTAACCGGCATCTCTCCGGAGGTCAGACCAGCGGCATCGCGGCGGTTCGACCGGCGGCGTAAGGGCGGTCAGACCGGCGGCGGCTTCAGGCAACAGCAGCTAATCTCGGTTAGACCGGTGGTTTCCAGGCGGTCAGACCGTCACTACTATTTCGGTCAGACCACGATCCATCGATTTCGAGGGTAACTTTTATTTCCGCTAAAAGTTTTTGGTTTTTGGGTATACCAACCATTCACCCCCCTCTGGTTGGCTTAGTTCTTGTGATTCGATCCTACAAGTGGTATCAGAGCCACGTTT